TTTACCTTTTTCCAAATTTTGCAGATTTTTTAATAAGGTTTTAATATAATTTAACCAAGTTTTACTTTTACCATTTAAACGTCTGTATAAACTCTTAATTTCGTCCAGCAACCTTAACTGCACCTTTTAGCATTCTGACAATAGATGAAATATTAATACCTATTATAGAAGGAATTGATAATTTACCACTAGGATTGATATATTTTATGAAACTTTGAAAACAATCAGGCTGAAAGTCTAATTCTATAGGGATAGTAAGATTGTTTTCATCTTTACCAAAATCAACCCAAGAAAATAATAGTTAATGATTGGAATATTCAATAAAAAGTTTGAGAATATTGCTTTTAAAAGCAGTATAAATTGTATTGTATAACCAGGTAAAAGTGGTACACAAGTCCTTTTATTATCTATTTTAATATGATAATATAACCGTTATATCTTGAAATTGCTCATGTATGTCTATAACTTGCCAGAGTTGTGAAGTATCTGATATGAAATGTGTTCTATTTTATCATAAAAAAACCTGATATTTGTCGTCAGAAGAGAGATTTTGGTACCATTGAGGCTCGGCCATTTCTCTCTATATATATTATATATATATAATATATATAGTGAGTACATTTTTTTTTACAAAAAATAAAGCGACCAAATTTTATTATTTGGAACATAGTTTTGACGTGTAAATGAAGTTTTTTTGTATATTTCTTAAGTTTCACAAACAAAAGCTATATCACATATAAAGAGTTCGCAACTATAAAGCCAGAATTCACAACCTTAAACAGTAAAAAAACCAACTTTTTCAGGTTACCTTATTAACAATATATATTTAATAATATATCATTGGATAGTTCAGGTTTTTCTGAGTCAGATATGAAGGGAATTATTCGTGTTTCACAAGGTTACATGAACTTATAGTTGTGGAACTTTCTAAAATCCATATTACATGATTTTTGCCATAAGTGAAGTGACGTCATATACTCTACCCTTAAATTTATCAGCCGTGCATATGACCATTGCACAATGGACTAATTACAGACGCAGTATATTATCGATCTAAGATTTCAATAATTACATAATCGGTTTCTAGAAAGCGGTAAAAAAATCATCAGTTAATCCAGATTAAAAATCACGTGAGCGTTCTATTTTGGAACGCCGATCACTTAGTTCTCTTTGAAAACTCACATTAAAAAGATAAAGCCAAATAATTTATTAACTTTGATTGATTATACTTATTAGAAAAAAGTAGGTATTCAGATGTGATATAAGTAAAAAGCATAGAAAAAGAAAGAAAAAAAAACAACAGCAAAGGATGAATCTAAATATCTAGATCTAAAGGAAGCATTAAAATATTCTAAGTTTCAAAAGATAAAAACAAAGTTTACTGCATGGAAGAAGAATTCTGAGAAAAGCAACAATAAAATGCACCCTAAGAAATTACGAATTACTACTTTTTTTAGGGGTCCACCACGGTTTACAAATATGTTTGTATTTACTATGAGGGATAGACTTGACTGTATCATCAACATCGTCATCAATATCATCGAATTCGTTATGTGATGTTTCTACATTTTCTATTGTTTTGCATGTTTTGACATACATTTCCTGCGCAATATATTATAATAGATTATGTTAATGATCGGGTTCATGTAACTTTGTCATCAAAAAAATTTTTTCCGGGACATAATGTCTAGGAAATTTCAGTCACATGACCAATGGTAACGGTTTTTAAATAGAATTCATAAGCTCACCATAACTAATTTAATTACACCAATACATGTCTTTAACTTTCCAATACTCTTGAGTTTCGTCGGTAACTCAAATTTAGGTCTGGGTAAAACGACATAAAAACCTTCCATCAGGTCTTCAATCAATAATTGTCTGTTTGTTCCAGCAAATTGTAGGAAAGGAACTCAGATATCCTTGACCCGATTGTCATCGAGATTGTATTCTAATAAACCGTTCAATATAGATTGGTTTATTCTGGCCGAACGACATCGATCACCAATCGTTTTTGTTGCTGTAGCCTTGGCGGAAAACTCCTATTCTCCCACATCGACTCCTAATATTGTCATGAAACGAACGTCACATTTGCGCCCATTAATATAATCCGCACTCCTACTTAAGGAGCAAAATGATTCCCCCCTTGAATGCATAAATTATAAATTATGACTTGTGAAATGGTTATATACTTATATTATTTTGAATATAAAGCAAACAATATTATACCAACCATCTTGGGTAAATTGTGAGGCTCTTGTTAAGCCCCTCGACAATGTACGCACAAGCTTTTAGAATTATGTCTACTTCTGTGTGTGCACCTTTTGTAGTAAAATCTAAAATATCTTCTTGGCCTTTGCTCTTGTAAATGCTGTATATGTTGAATAGTGAGAATAAGAATCACGAAAAAATAAATATCTTAGATAGCAATCAAATAACTCACAAATCTCCATATATTTTACTTATTTTATATAAGTAACTATCTTCGATTGAACTTGAATGGATTTCCGTACAGTATTTATATGCCTGGTTTACGTTTCCTTTACATACCATCTACATAGAGTAATGAATTCATAAGTATATGCATCCATGTAGACAAGTAAGATAATTTAAAACTCATACATCCTCGACTTTTAGAACAAATGAACTCTCCTTGCCTGTCATTTCGGGAACTCGCAACATAGATTCGTAATCTTTCTTAATGAACTTTTTGTCGTTTTCGCAAAACCACTTTTTCATGTGAGCGGATAAATCAATTATCCTTGATGCACCATATCGCAATATGGCTTTTTCAATTGCCGTTAGTCTCTTCTTATTTTTTACTGTGCGTGCGTTTTCAGATATTTTTTCAGAGTAGATGTCACCAACGTTCTTTCCTGAAGGCAAAGTCCAAACTTTTGAGCTGGAAAGGGCATTAGCAAGCGAGTCTTCTGGAGGCAAAGCTTCTTCATCTTCGTCGCTATAATCATTTGTTTCATTCGAAGGAATCCCATCACCGGTTTCATTACCTTCATCCGTTTGTGCATAATTTATAGGAGATGGCTTCGTAATCTTTGTACCGTCAGGTAGAGTATCACTCTAAATAGAAAATAACTCGATTTACCCTTTTGTGAAAGATGTTTTTGTCAACCAAAAATTAAGTTATATATATCGACCTTTTTTCCTGATTTAGATTTCTTTTTTGATGAAGGATTTTCATGAAAACGAACTCGCTTATGTCCAGATGATGCATCCACTTCTTCTCTTGCATTCGAAAGTCGCGAATTAACTTTATCAACATATTCATTGACTTTTTGATTACGAGAAACATCAATAACATCCAATGCGCCGATTTGCGTTTTTTTATCGAAAATATCCTAGAAGAAGGTTGGCAAGTGAGAACACAACCAAAATTATTGACACTGGAGTCCTAATCCGAACCTCCTTTATCATTAGCTCCTTTTCAATTTTGACACTATTCCAAAAGTTTTCTTCTTCAGGTGGACGTTTCTAAAAACGCAGAAATTAGAAGTCAGTTAGTAAATATCAATCAAGAAGGTGGTGCGTCCAATATATTTCATATGATCTTTCTGGAGGAACGATACCCCACGACTGTCACACTAAGGAACGATACCCCATACTCAGAGAAGGACGATACCCTCCCTAAGCTGTGCAACAGCAGAAAAGACCGTGAAATACAGTGCTGAGGAACGAAACCCCATGCCATAAAGAGGACGATACCCCCTACAGGTTGCGCAGATCTCACACTTGACGGTTCAGAGATAAAATGGAAAAAATAGACAAACCTGTTGAATCAGAAAAGTTGCACGCTTCTTGCTAGTATCATCCTGCTCTTTCTCGATAAGAATGTTACTTAAATATGTAAGATATCGTTTTCTCCATATAGATTTTTGGTCAACCAGCGTGCGAACTTCAGAGATGCAATTAGGCTTCAGTGTTTCCAAGAATGCCATATACGACCATTCTGAGACAGGAGTGTTCTCGAAATACGATTTTACCGGATCTAAACAAGGTTTTACAGACATCGAGCGAAAAAAAGTTGAGGTAAATGAAAAGTTATTACGTGAATCGTAGATAAGGACATTCGTTATATCACGAGGTGATAAAATCAAATGTCGATCTTTTTTATATTGTGTAACATTTGATGTCAATCGATTTAAAGTAATAAAAAAAAGATGTGATATTTTTCAAAAACTAATTTATCATTACGCAGTTTTTTT